GGAGGGGGAGAAGAAGGGGGGATGGGAGAAGGAGAAGGGGAGGAAAGGGGAGGAGAGGGTGGAAGAGGATGGTGCACGGACCAGCGAAGCATACCTCGAAACCATTGTGTAAGGCGAGTTACATGTATTGGATGTCGACGCTGGCGAGCTCGAATGTAACAAGTCCATCCACAGGCCAGTGTTGACGGAGCATGACCACGCGAGAGCAAACGGCGGACAAGCATGGTTGCTGCCGTTTTGAAATCACGCCAATTGTCACAGATCTGCTCAAACCGCGTAAACTGGCCAGTGAACACACCTGCAGGCTGATGAGATGGAATGTTCGACGTTGCACTAGGATATCGTATAACAGGAAAATCCCATGCAACGGTCTTATCAAACACACTCAATCTGAGAGATCCGTCTGCTCGTGTCTGCAGTTTCGCACCTAAGAAGGTGCACGAGCCATCTGTCGCGGTGGTCTCCTTCCATTCAAGACCATAATGGGCTGATGATGGTGGCAGACAATCAAAGGTAAGAACATCATCAATGAACCGATATGTAAAAGCATATCGGCGAGCAGCAGAGGGATCCACACGCTGCAGGTTGTCCACGTACTGCGCCTCATCCCAATAGAGTGTAAGATTGGCAATCTCAGGACCAGCGTTTGTACCCATAGGGATACCGACATCTTGATGACGAACAAGGCCATCCGCTGTATACAAATATGTATTTGTAACAATAAACCGAAGATTCTTCAGAAAGAGTGTCAGGTCCCATATCTGTAGTCCATTCCCCTGCACGGGGTCCACGGACCAGCATACAAAGAGCAACACCCGATGAGCGTGTCTGTGTATGCTGCCGTACCTGTGCAACATCAACGGCATTAGCAACATTGTCAAGAATTCGTTGATGAGAAAGATTAGTATACATAGTAGTGAAATCAACTGTATGAGGGGCCAGACCTCTAAGAGAAGCTTTATTCTTTTTGAGGTCAAGCATGACCTCGTCACTGCTCTGAACAATCCAACATCGTCGAAGACCTTCGGTTCGAAAGAGTTGATTATCTTTTTCGCGTAGGAGTTGATTATCTTTTTCGCGAAGAGTACGGATGACGCCTTGAAGTGCTGTACTCAAACGAGCCGAAGTAGGCGTTGTACTAGCTACCGGCTTGTGAGGCGGGCGGTGATGCAACGCTGGACTTGTTGGGAAGGGTGCAGGTCACTCCGCCCGGCCGTATGGGAAGAGGAAGAAGAAAGATTGTTTCGGGCAGTGATACCAAGAATAGGACGGAGTGTGGGAGGAGATTTATGGGCCTTAAGAACACAATASAGATACGGCAATGTGTCAGCATGAGGATAATTCCAATGATTGTTCCAAACTGCATGGCTATTCAGAATGTCAGCCACTGATTCAGCAGGCCGAGAATAGGTAGGACTGTCAAGGTGGCTTGACAGTTTGAATTTG